GTTTTTTAAGCAATAAGCATTAGGGGTGGGCAAACATGGTTAACCGTACTTTGGTTAACCAATAATTGGTTAACCAAGATTTGAGTTACCATATTTTCGGTAAAATTATCCGTACCATGACCTCGGTTAACCGCATATTGGTTAACCAAATTTCTGGTTAACCGCTAATCGGTTAACCTAAAAATCAGAAATAAAAAAAATAAAACCTGCCAACCTCAATCCTTCCGGACTCTACTTCCAGTTGCAGAGCCGCATAGGTGCTTTACTCATTTAGGCCTTTGGCCTTCAGCGTTTAACTCATTAATTAGTCAATTTTACACAATCAAGGAGTAATAAGAGAAGTAGAGAAGAAGGTTGATAGGCGGCGGCGCATGCTCATTGATAGGCGGCAGTTAGAAGGCAGTTAGTTGAGCACTGGAGATGGAAATTGGAATATGGGAATTGCGGCAACTGCTTCCGAGTCCTTCTTCCTAGCTTTCCTTCGATTGAAGCTTTTCTGATTCCAATAATCCATACATAGTCGATAGGGAGGCAGAGTCCGGAAAGAAGAAGAAGAAGAGATCGGCAGGTTGCAGCTTGTGGAAAGGAAAAGCTGCTAGGAACGATAGTCTGCAAAGGCTGAGGCATGTCGTCCGCTACTGTTGGTGCCTTTTGAACGGTTAACCGATGGAATATGGTTTCAAAATGGTAATCCGACCATCAAACCTTTTTTCTTTTCATCGGTTAATTGTACCGATAATAATTAAAAAGTCGGCATGGTTAACCGGAAAAATAGCGGTTTTTTGTTTTTTTCCCACGGTTACCTGGTTATGGTTTTTTTATGCCCACCCCTAATAAGCATCCACACTAATCAATATCGTTGTCTCACTCGCTGTTCGTGCACTATCTAAATTCCGGTATTGTCGCCAAATCCATGTGCTTATAAATTTATAACGATTGGTGGGTGTACTGATTTGTCATGCAAATTTGAAATTAAAAACCTGAATTGCCACTTTAGGCGTTTTATGCAAACCCCACTTCTTTGCACGTCCATTGGGGGCCATGGCCTTGTTGTCCTTTCACCAAATCGTTTGTGAACACCACACCACCAGCAAGGATTCATCCCCGCGTTAGTTAGTCCAAGTGTTATTCCTGAGAACATGTGTTACTCCAATTGCAAGTTCACCAAAAGATAATAGTGATACGAGTAATTACTTACGTTTTTACGTTTTTGGTTGAAGGGTTGGTTAAGATAAAAAAGGTTTAACGTCCGAAATCATTCACATCCACTTATATTTGTATTAGATAGATACACTATTTGTGCAATTTAATTTACTTTTTAATGTTTCACCAACTCATTTGTTGTAAAATGTCAATGTCTTTTAGTCAAAATACGTGGTGATAATTTTGTAAATAAATGATTTTTTTAATGAAACTTTAAAAAGTGTATTACATTGCACATAAAATTCAACTATACAAGTAAAAGTGAGTATAAAGAAATCCACACGTTAAAAAAGTTTTTTATTTGATTCTAACCCTTTTGTTGAGATAATCATAATGTAATGTAATACTCCGTAATATTAATCTCGCTCAATTATGGTATAGTAAAATTTAATGAGCATATCATCGGGGTGGCCCAAACCGGTTCGGCCCGGTCCGTGAACCGGCCCGGCCCGCTACTGTGCGGGCCCGGACCGACCCAGGTGACGGAAGGACGGTTCGGGCTTTGAACCGGCCCGATCGTGTAGGACGGTTCGGGCACAGGCCCTGATTTATGAGAACGGGCCGGACCGCTTTGGGCCCGGTCCGAGGAAGATGTCAACATGTGATCACAACACACGTTAAGTCATTGATGTGATGAACGTGAGGATTATTCCATTTCAAAAATGCGAGATCACTTTTAATACTTCTCCGGTTCTTTAAAAGTTGTAACGTAATAGTTTTTGTACACTATTCAAACACCTTACTTTGATCACAATTTTCTACTAATATATAATTAAATTATTATGTATAAAATGTTACTCCCTCAGTCCCAAATTGTAAGATACATTTACTATTCACTTGGTCAACATAAATCACTCTTAATCTTTTACTTTATATATCAAAAGTTTATGAAATTTGAATTATTTTTTGAAGGTTTTGTAGCGGTTTTAATGTAGTTTCTGAACATGTAAATTTTATTTTCTAAAACTAATTTGAGTGTTGACAGAGATCAATTTGCTTTATCGTTGGTCAAACATCGTAAACCGTAAAGTATCTTACAATTTGGGACGAAGGGAGTATTAAATTGAATTCCCTGAATAGGAGCAAAACATAGGCAAAATGCAAAAATAGGAATATCATGTTCTGAACAGGAGTAACTTTAGTGTTTGGACAAGTATACCCCCACCCAAGCCCTAAGCACTAACAACTTTTAATTAAATGTTTAATTCATAATAAATTCGGAAAAAATAAAAAATTCGTAGAAAAATAATTAAAAAATTTATAAAATGTTAATAAAATAAAAAATTTTAATTTTTTTTTTAATTTTTTAGTTTTTTAAAAAATTAATTAAAAATAGAAAAACTCCATAAAAAATTTAAAAAAAATTGGATGTCTTTCCCACCGCCCGTACAACCTTCCTGCACCACCACCTCTGAGTAGGGATGGATTCGGTTCGGGCCACCCGGCCCGTGACCCGGCCCGGCCCGGTACTGTGCGGGCCCGGGACCGGCCCGGTCGGGCGGTCCGGGACCGAGTATGGGCCCGAACCGGTGGGAAGGGGCGGGGCGGGCTCGGTTCAGCATTATTGTGACCCGGCCCGGCCGGGTCGGGCCCGGGCCCAGGTCCGGTTCAATTTTTTTTTAAAAAAAAAATTTTGGTTTGGGCTCCTAGTCTCCTACTAGCCGTTGGGGGTGGGGCTGGGGACAACCCAAACGGCTATATAGCCGTTGGGTGGGGTAAAGGGGGGGTCCGGGGGGTTGGGGGGTAAAAAAACCTATAAATACTCCTAATCTTAAACATTTTTTCATATCTCTTTTCCAATTCTTCCTAAATCCTATTCTTAACTCTCTACTCTCTAATTCTCTTATTCTCCAATATATTATATATCTACTCTCTAATTCTCTTCTCTAAGAAGTTAAGATGGAAAATCAAGATGCCATTATACGGTATAATTTTGATAAGCAGAAGGACCCGAAGACCGGGATGTGGTACGCAATTTGCAAATGGTGCGAAAAAAAATGTATCATGGGGGCTTCAGGCGGATTCGGGATGGCAATCAAGCATATGAAGTCATGTGACAAAGCCAAAGGATCGGGAGGTGCGGGAAGTTCCGATTGATTACAATTTTCAAAATGTTTCTCTCTTAAAACTTGTTTTAATTTTCAAATGTAGTTCCTGTTTCATTTCAAATAAATGCAATTGAAGTTTGTTTTTAATACTCGTATAAAACTATAAACTATAAAATATAAATTATAAAAAAAAAAATTAACCGGCCCGAACCGGACCCGACCCGTGACCTGGGCGGGTGGCCCGGGCCGAACCGGACCCGTCCAACCCTCGGGCCGGTCCCGGGCCCACTTTTCTTGAACCGGCGGCCCGACCAGGCCTAGACCCGGCCCGGACCCGACCCGGCCCGAATCCATCACTACCTCTGAGCGGTGAAAAAAAATTCTATTTTTCCTAAAAACTGCCATTTTTTTTCCGGAAAATGCCAAAAACATGACATATTTCTCTTTGTGAATGCCAACATTTTCATTATTTTCTTCCATAAATATGTCATTCGTAATGCTAGCATTTTATCCCCTAGTGACTGGAGGTGATGGTGCAGAGGCGGCAGAGGAGGCGATGAATTTTATTTTATTTTTTTGAGTTTTTATTTTTAAAAAAAAAAATTATATTTTTTTATTTTTTGAAAAATAAATAAATAAATAAATTATTATTATCGAATAAGTCATAAATTAACTAGGTTAAGATTAAATAAGTCATATTTTAGAATTAACTAGGTTAGGGATATTAAGAGTATAAAATTAATGTTTACTCCTATTGAAGGAAGTTTTAAGTTTTACTCCTATTTGTGCAGTTATGTTTATGTTTACTCCTATATTAGGCAATTTCTAAATTTCTATTGATGTGAATTTCAAAAATTATGCGTTGACAAACCTCAAAGTCAAACTATTGCAACTTTTAAAGACCGTAGGATCATACTCCCTCCGTCCCTTAAAACTTTGTCAAGTTTGACAGACACGAAGACTAAAAAAATAAAAACTGTGTGATAGAGATTTGTGGAGAGGAGAGAGAATTAACTAAAACCACAAATTCTTTAGTTAAAAGGGAAGGTGTCAAAGTTAATGGGAAAACCAAAAAAGAAAAGTTGACAAAGTTTTAAGGAATGGATGGAGTATGTTATCTTCTCCCCTACTTAACACGTCAACCTATTTACTCATCAAATTGCCTCCAAAATTACTACGTAGTAATTTGCTTATCCGATGGTAATTTGAAATGACTTTAATACATATCTCCAACCTCCCATGATACATATCTCTAACCAAACACCCATATATAACTAGGCTTGGACTCGGGTCGGGCCACCCGGCCCGTGGACCGGCCCGGCCCGCTACTGTGCAGGACCGGGACCGGCCCGGTTCTCGGGTCCGGGTCCGGGTTGGGCCTAGGCCCGGGGGTAGGGCGGGTCCGGGCACGGGTCTCAATTTTGGTGAACCGGCCCGGCCGGGTCGGGCCCGGGCCAAATTGAATTTTTTTTATTTTTTTTTCATTTTTGGGGTTCCACCCGGGTTGGGCTTGATGGGTTTGGGGGTATTTGGGAGGGTGGGGGTGAGGGGGGGGGTTAGGAAAGCAAAAAAAAAAAAAATCCAAACCGGAGGCCCGGCCCGGCCCGGACCCGGACCGGACCCGTTGGGTACCCGGGCCGGTCCCGGGTCCATCATTCTTGAACCGCCGGCCCGCCCGGGCCTAGGCCCGACCCGGACCCGGCCCGGACCCGAGTCCAACCCTATATATTACTACCATCCTCATCATTCGCTTGATTGATCCATTCTTCCAGGGCTTGTGCATTAATAATAATTAGTGAAGTGTAAGTATATAAGTTATAAATAAATGAGGAATCTTTACAAGAATTAGTAGCCGGTAGTATACATCAAAAAAGAAACCGCCCAAGATTGCTAGAGATTAGCAAGCTGTTGAAGGCCTGGATGACTGAGAAGTCTTGTGCTGCTGATTCTGGCACTGTTGGGGGAGGTGGTGCCAGGATCTCGAGGCTGCTTTCTCTCTCAGTTCTTGAAATGCCCTCATCGTTTCCACATCAAATCCACCCGCAAACTAACCAAACGCACCCCAAACATATATTATTATTAAATAATAGGCAAAACGTATTTTTTTAATGTGTAGTGAGTAGTCACTATGTACACCTAATACTTTCGTATAGTTGGCCTTTAGGTGACTAAGGTGATTTTCTATTTTATATGGATCGTGTTCTCGGGGCAGCCGTGTTAGGTGTGGACACGTTCAAGTTGTTTCGGTACCGACAGTTCTGCGTTGTTAGACGAAATGCCCGTGTACACACACAAAATAGGGGCGTGTTATCTTTTACGGTCGCCGTAGTGACCACCATTGTTATATTTTAGTAGAGGTTATACAAAATGCTTCAAAACGGAATAAAGTGTAAGCTTAGGGGAAGAAGAAGTGTTGGGCAGCACTTTTTTTTTGTTTTCTACCTGATGTACTCGAAAGGCAAACTTGACACCTAATACTTTCGTATTATTGGCCTTGAGTGACTATGGTGATTTTCTATTTTATATGGATCGTACTTGGGGCAGCCGTGTTAGGTGTACACGTTCAAGTTGTCTCGGCACCGACAGTTCTGCGTTTTTAGACTAAATGCCCGTGTACACACACAAAATAGGGGCGTGTTATATTTTACTGTGGCCGTAGTGACCACCATTGTTATATGTTAGTAGAGGTTATACAAAATGCTTCAAAACGGAATAAAGTGTAAGCTTAGGGGAAGAAGTGTTGGGCAGCACTTTTTTTTGTTTTGTTTTCTACCTGGTGTACTCGAAAGGCAAACTTGACACCTTGAACAATTAGCTCTTCTTCATCAGGACAACCACCAACCATTTCAAGCTCTGCAGATACCCTTTTCATGTACTTCATTGCCAATTTAACAGATGCCAGCTTCATCTGCATAATTATGCACCCCAACGAGTTACTATATTGAATGTAGTAAGCATAGTGGGTCATCACATTCCAATGGGGCATAATATCACTTTTTACATGGTTCATTCTAATAGTGTAGAATTAATTAGACTATTAGAATGAACCTTAAGCTGTGATACCATGTGAGAATAATAAACAGGCTTAACCGAACTGATATCCTTCACTGTATCTTTATAATGAAATAAGTTTCCAAATACAATTAGGATACTGACTAATAATTAATGCTAATTAATTCTACACTATTTATTACATTCTTGTTCATTTATTGCCTAAATAATTATAGTGTTTAGGTGTGTTTCACCACATATTAAGTCTATTTTTAGAATATAAAAATGTGGAGAAATCAGAATTATAACTTAATGTTTCGTGCACAATGGTGAAAGTGGAAAACATGGGCCATTTCAGGTAATTATATCATCAAAATAGATCACAGTATCACACTACCAGACACAAAACATATGCAGGTTTACTGACAAGCAAATTGTGTTTATGAAATTTTAGACTTGACAACTGGCCATTTGTGTAGTCTTATTATTATTCCGTATATTATTTGATTATTTTCGTACTTTTTGTCATCTAGCTATCGATCACTACACAACAGTACAATATTCCGTGGACCAGAAAAAAAAAACACTTATTCAAAGAACTGTGGGGTATCATCAAACTTTCTCAACCTGACAAGTAAATCACGGTCTTCAACATAAATGAAAGAACAGTCATACCCTCATTCCATTAAAATAAAAATTATTTTCGTCTTAAATTGTTTTGCAAAAGTTAACATTTTTTTGTCAACCAACTTTAAGGCTAAATCTTCTCGATTGATAATAAATTCAATTTTAATAATTAAAATTTACATATTCTAAAACTACATTAAAATCTCTATAAAGTTACAAAATCCAAATTTAAATCTAATTAAGAATTGATATCCTACTTAAGTGAATAAAATATACTCCGTATTTGTTTGACCCAAAAAAGTCAACTTTGCAACTCCATTTGGGACCGAGGGAGTAATACACTCTCGGTCCCAAACTGGTGCCACTTAAGTTTTACATGGAACAAAGGTGTGAAGTAGTCCATAATGGGGGTATAAATCAAATAGTATCAACTAAAAGCAGAAACAAAAAAGAGCAAGGAAGCAGCAGCTCTTTACACACCTGATTAGCATAACCAGTGTCCAACATCCACTCCATAGGGATTTGGAACAATCTGTATCTATTGCTGGCGGATTCCCTCATTCTTGACAAAGTATAAACACCATGCTCTAATCTGTCAAAATTTAACCCCAATGAATCCAAAAATTTTATGCAATGTGAATTGTGTGGAAACAGGGGATGGGAGAAGAGGATGATTTTGTAATTCCATACTTCTCAAACAAGGTCTGCATTTTCTTAAGAGCTGGACCACAAGGCTGCCTATGATCATCATCACGGAACAAAGATGCCTCTGTGACAAGCTTCTTTATATCACTATACCCAAACGCTGCCTCCCTTAAAGCATCCGCCTTTTTCTCTGGCCAGTCAAAGTGTTTCAACACTGCCCTTTCATCCACCTACACTTTTAAAAGTAATAATTAAAATAACCATTCAGAATCTATCTGTTTTATAAATAAACAATTACATGCATAGTAAAACTTTGTTGTAATCCAGTCAGTTTTTGTTTGGGTAAGTTTGCTGAGTAGTGGGGGCTTGAGAATAATTGATATAACAAAAACCAGCTTTTAGAAAGTAAAAGAACACAAGAATAACTCAAAGCAAAAAAAGTCGATAAACTACAAACATTCATTCACTTTATTTCAAATAATTAAGCTGATTACAAGTTTAGGGCCAGGTTTGAATCAGTAGAATTGGCTGACTTTTTAAACTTGTGGCTCAAGCACAAAATAATTATCTTTAAAACATATTAGAGAAATATTCCTGCCCGGAATTCTGGACAGGAACCGCCGTCTGGACGGTGGCTTTTGGTGGTCTTCCCGGTGGAATTTTTTTATGAATTTTTTTATGGAATGTTCTACATCAAGTCTAGTTTATCCACAAAAAAATTCAACTAAAAACTCAATCGGGAAGGTCTTCAAATGATTTTTGGAAGTTAACTGCGTTGTATATGTATTTTTCGGCGCAGTTATCTTCCAAAAATCATTTGACGACCTTCCGAATTGAGTTTTCAGCTGAATTATTTTGTGGATAAACTAGACTTCATGTAGAACATGCCATAAAAATTTCATCAAAAAATTCCACAGGGAAGGGCCCCAAAAGCCGTCGTCCAGACGGCGGTTCCGGTCAAGAAGGCGTGACAGGAAGATTACTTATTAAAATAAGGAACAAAATAGCAGGAAACAAGCTAGAATCGGCTTCTATGCAAGTTCAACCAATTCATCCAGTATATAGGTTCTAGTTATTCCCACCATCACTAAATTCAGCTCAAGAAATAAAGAATTTAGGGTTTTGTATAATATCTTAAATTGATAAGCACCCAAAAATGGGTTACAAAATGGGCACTCAGATATTGGTGCCGAGAAACTCTAAACTTTTTCTAATAACGGCTTATAAGCTGTCGCAAATAAGCTCTTTAGAATCTCAAAAAAATAACAAGGAAAATATGGTTGAGTACCAGGTAAGACAGCTCATCATCAAGCCATTTGACGAACAGCACAACATCCTCAATATCTGTAAATGCAGCACTCTCTACCTCTTTGATCAAGAATCTTATAAAATCTCCTTGTATTTCTACATCTGTCTTTATCTGTGTAATTGAGAAAGATATTAAAACAGTAATAAAAAATTCCAAGAAATGTGCAGTGAAAACACCCAGTGGGATATACAGTTCTAATAGTAGTGCACTAGTGGTAAATGTGGATACAAAACTTACAGCCAGTAAATGTAAAGAGCGGTTTTCAATTTCCCCGATCATATCTTTGGCCATTGCCATCCCCGGGGCAGAAGCATCACAGGAACCTCCAGACTCCCGCCGGGAGTCCCTCCTCATGAGAGAATGATAAAATTCAACCACCTCCGGCACCCGAATCACTTTAGCTGGGATGGGTTTTATTAAGCCCTTTGGAGGTGGAGGGGGCGGTGGTGGCGCCGCCTTAGAGGACGGTGGAGCTGGTGGTGTGGGTGGACGAGGAGGTGCTGGGGTGGCAATGGCTTTTGCCTGCGCCGTGGGCGGAGGTGGGGGAGGCGGCGGAATGTGGGTAACCTCCGGGACTACGCGATTTGAAGAATCTGATGAAGATCCAGACGAGGAAGAGGGTCTAGGAGGAGGCTTCGGAACCCGCGGAACTCGGGATCTTAAGCTCATCAAACTCTCTGAGGTTTCAGCCATTTCCTCGGAGTTAGACCGAGAATGCCTTGGCCTTTCACTGGTTTCCATTGACACTTCCTCTTTCCTACTCCTCTCACAATCAGCCTTGCCGTTGTCAATCGTTAATGAGAAGCTGGGCTGAGTCGCGCATTTTCTCAAACACCTAGTCAGTGACAATTTCTGACTGCTATTTCCCGTATCCACGAATCTATGAGCTGATGCCAGCTCTTCATTCACCCTCTTCAGCTCCAAAATCTCTGCTTCCAAGAGTTTCAACTTCTCTTCAGAGCGGCCCCTTTGCTTGAAAAGCTCCAAGTGTAAGACCTCGACTTCCATCCTAAGCCTGTCGTTCTCCGTCTCCAAGCACTCGACTTTACGGCGGGACCGTTGCAGTTCCGAATCTCTCTCTGAAATCTCGTTTTCGAGAACAGGGACAATCGCAGCTGATTCTTTGAGGAGCTTTTGCTCGAGAAGCTCGGTCTTTAACCGGGACTCTCTCTCGCGCAACACTTCGACTAGACGGAGTAGCTCGGAGACGTCCGGCGGGCGGGGCTGGACCTGGGCGGAGGCACGTGGGAAGTAGACGCCGAAGGAGCGCGAGAAGAGTGCGCCCTTCTGTGGTTTCTTGCCGGAGCACGGAGAAGGAGAATGCGGCTTCGGAGACGAATCTGAACTCAGGGGTTTGGGATTCGCCGGCGATTTCTGTAACCCCATGGCTACTTTAACTTTCCCGGCTACCATGGTTGCATGTAATGCGGACAAGAGTGCACTTTCACCTCAACTCCCCACTCTCTCTCTCTCTCTCACTAAAATTTAGCCGTTGTGTTCTGACTGAAACAATGGGGTTTTGGCAAGGGAAGTCTTTTTGAGATTTGAGTTGAGGAAGAGGCAAACCCAAACGACTCTGTTTGGGCACGTTTGACGAGGAACGGTCTTATTTCTTGGATCCGGTCGGTCTATAGAACAATTTGGATCTTTCTGTCTGTGTCTCCCCTTCAAAATTATTGTATACACTCAGTCTCCCACTTGTTTTTACAAAATGTTTTTATAAATGTTTGTACTATCTTGGTGTCTTTCATCATTAGAGCTAGTTCGGTATGGCATAATGAATATTTTCTCCCTTATCTTCGTTCTATCGAAACTTTCGATATACAAAATTTATATACTGTTAATGTTACTGAAGTTTCGGTGTATCGAAGTTTCGGTATACCGAAATTTCGGTTTGATAATGGTACAGTATTGGTAAATTACCATGCATGTCTCTCAATACAATAAATTATCAGAGACTAACAAACTACTACGTATACTAAATCGGTGTTAATAATCTATTGATGTTCTATTCAATATTGATTATTGAACAATAATTATTATTAGTATATTTAAGTAGTTCAACATGCCACGTATTAAAAAATAACACATTCTCCTAAAATAACTTGAACAATATACATATAATAGTGATATCTAACAAAAATAAATAAAATTATTCAAACAACATCTATATAAAATCATTTATTCCTAATATGATATTGTGTAACTAGTCATTTTTATAATTTTAAAAAATATTTGAATAACACTTTCAGACAAAGTTGTGTGCCTGGACTCGATCGTGGAATCCCCATGTAGATGTACTCATACACTCGTCACATAAGTGTATGCCTAGCTTTTTCACTCGTCAGCTACTTAGCGGCTCAGCCATCGCGACTCGCAACCTCTAGCTTGGAACAAGATGGACTTGTGTATGAACATTAGTACATTACTCATTAGTCATGAGGGTTAGTTTGTTTGAATATACGTAGTAGAAGCCTAGAAGGTTATAGTGAATTTGGGAAATTGACCCTATATTTTTGTATTTTGGTATTTGTAACCAACCTAAGTATTAATTTTGGGCTTCAAAATTGTAATGGACTTTTACAATATTGTAGAATTAAAAGTAATTGTTGGGTAGAGAGTCGGTACGGTATTATACCGGTATACCGCGGTATATGAAAACATTTGTCGTTATCGTACCGAAATAAATCGGTGCGTTATGATACCGTACCGAAAATGACGGTATATCAATATTCCAGTATTTTCTGGTATTTTTCGGTACGGTAAGTGCGGCACACTGATTTTCCGGTATTTTTGTCCACCCCTATTCATGATTCTTATTTGGAGCCCGTTTGGTAATAGCCAAATTGGTTGTATTGGCTGATTCTGCTGAAATTTATGAAGTTCTGACTGAAGTAGTGGCTGCATTGGCTGATTTATGAATAAATTATATTTAAAGTATGTTTTGTTAATAAAAGAAAGAAAAAAATATATGAAAAATAGCTAAAATGATTTTCTACGGTAACTTTTGCTAATACAGTCATAAAAGTAACTTGAACCTTACTTTTTCTTATTTTTATTGTTACACAATTCATCGCGTGAAATCAAAAATTACGTGTTTGATGAAAAAATGACTGATAAGCCTGAAATGTTACCAAGCGACCTTTTGATATACTAGTTTTTGCACACGTATTGCACGATTGAATTATTGCCCAATGCATTTTTTGTTAACATATGTGTTTTTTTATGTTGAATTGATTTTACTACTTTTAGTATTTGACATATATCAATGTATATAGCCATCGAGGAATACATAATTCTAGCATCCCTCACCAAGAAAAAGGTTAGGAACTAAAAACAAAATAAAAAACATGTAAACCCGTAGAAGGCGGAGACCTTATTTATCCGAGTACATAAGAAACCATTTATAAAAATAACAAAAAAACGTCTAGTACTATACATAGAAAATTCCCGGAAAATACTTGCCACCATTATAAAACTCTTTCTAATGCCTCCTCACTTGCCGGAAAATACTTGCCACCATTGGGGGGATAGCCTTGGTAGGAACTTAAACAGCCAAACTTTGGCGTACGCATGAGATTTAAGACATATTTCAGAACATTGTTTCTAGGGAAAAAGATTAAAGTAATCATAAGAACATAGCCTCAGTTGAACCAAGGAAATATATAGAAGAAATTGTGGAGAAATGTTATGATAAGGACAATCATGAGATTTATGCAGAAAAGAAGGAGATGGAAACAAAAATTGATTGCGTTGAGGTTCTATTGTGGTGAACATGAAACAATCAAAATCTCTGCTACAAGCACGTCGAAGTCCCAATGAAGAATGCCACTACCCTTGGAGTTCAGAGAAGAGAAGGTAAAAAAGTAATACTCCTAGGATGTTAATTCAACTCTACAAAAGGTTAAAATAAAGCTGATACTCTGGCATTTTCAAATAGTTTTTCCCTTCTTAATGACCAAGGGGGAGGGCCTATTTGGTAATGGCTGCATTGGCTGGAATGACTGAAAAGACCAAAAAGACTAAGAGGGGTGTATTGTATTAGGAATTAGTGGCAAAATTTTAAAAGTCCATGGATTTTAAAAGTTTAGGTGTATTCAATGTTGACTTTTAAAAGTCTACAAAAGTCTAGGTGTATTCAATGTAGACTTTTAAAAGTCTATAAAAAACTAGGCATATTCAAAGTTTCGTTCATTCTTATGGATTTCTAAAATCATGGATTCTCGTGGGCTTTTAACTCATTTTTAGTACATTAATTCTCTTCGATTGTCTCTTCTCCTCACTAAAGATTTCTGTGGACTTTTCTTATATCGGTTCTTCATCTCGTCCCCCACCCCACCCCACCAACTCTCTTCTTTAGCCAAGTCACCCCTTCCCCTTCGATCATTCTTCTTCAGCCTAACTCGCTCCACCCCTCTCCTTCCATTCTTTTTCTTCTTCAGCTTGCCCCACCCCCCTTGATTCGTTAATCCCATACTGGTTCGATTCTAGAAGTTTCTAGAAAAACTGATATAAGAATCGATAATATTACATTAGTGCAATTCTGGTACGTCGTCACTTAACCATTAAGAAAATAAATATTTTAACTATCACTTTCTTTCATTGTTAAATCGCTAACACATAAAAATATAATTTCAAATTAATAAATATATAAACGTAAATAAGTACACAAAATTTTACAAGATAGAAATGAAAAGAAAACAATTATTAAGAAGATAAACTCGATTGCAACTGTGCTTGTACCACATGTAGCAATGAGTGTAACGATTAATGTTCTTACTCATTAATAAAATGACCAAAAATTTTGAGCATTCTTGAAACTGAGTTTTTTTAATAAATATAAATTTGGATTCTTATGCTTCATTTATTCTTGTAGAACTTTATGTTGCTATATGAATTACATTTGTTTCATTTATTTATTTATTTGTTTGTCTATTTGTTTCTTATCATACTCTGTATTATACAGAGGAAATTATTCAGGGTAGGACTAAAACATACGGAGTAACATTCTTCTTAAAGCATGATCATATGTTTGATTTTCCTTAAATAGGACTAAATATTACATATTCACCCCTAATTTAATTGATTAATATAAGTAATTGTCCATAATTCCCTTGCATAACCAAATCGACTTTGTTGGTGGCGGATCAGTCCGATGACGACAGCGGGGAACCCAAGTGACAGAGGCGGACGGGCAGATCGGTAGCGGCGGTCTAGGTGAAAATTTCGACAACCAGCAGTGGTGGTTCGCATTTAAAAGTCTATGAACTTTTTAAAAGTCAATAAACTTACCCATAGATTTAAAAGTCCATAGAATTCATTCATAAAAAGTCTATGGATTTAAAAGTCCATTGACTTTTTTAAAAGTCCACGGATTAAAAAAAATCCACCACAATCCATATTCAATACATCCCCCTAAATTTGCTGAAGTGAAAATTTAGAGTATATCCATAGGTAATTTACAACTTCATTTCTGTATATCCATAGGTAAAGTAAAAGTATGTATATCGCTTAGAAAATTAAAATTAAAAAGTAAAGTAATGTTCGGCGAATTTAGACAACTTAGGCAGCCGATTAGACGCTCTACGCGGATAACTAGGCGCCATAGATGGTCGACTAAATCACCTAGACGACAAACCAATTAGTCGGAGTGCCTAGATGAAAATTGGGTCGCTCGGCCACCGCCTAGCGCCTAGGCGGGGACTAGTCGGGTGCCTAGAACGATTTTTAGAACAGAGAGTGAAAGTGTTTGGTAATATGTTGGCTGAAATGGTTGATTGAGAATAAAATTACTATAAAGGGTATTACCTTATTTGTGTTAAATATATGGGTGTGAATTTTACTAATACACTCCTTTTGCCTGATTAGGTAATCATAAGACTACTTAAATAATTGATTACTTTGGAAATTTCATTGTTACTATTACGTCGAATTTTATATTATTTTATACAACTACTTTTCAAAAAAGTCGAATGAGTGACTTTGTATTATATTTTGTGTGTTGTGACTAATATGAGTTAATTAACTTAATAAATATACTTTTTATAAAGTATATTAACAAATGAGCATGCATTTAAATTAAAATAAAATGAAACATACAATACATATAAGTATTAATTAGAGTTCATTACGGGTCTGAAAAAACACTAAACAAAGAAAATACATAATAGAACACATGCAATCGTCATACACCATAGTTGTGTTCATTAATAGTGATGATAGTTTATACTAGAAGTTGGAACTTTTGGAAGTAAACAAGCAAGCACCCACAAGTTTGAACTTTTGGAAGTAAATATGCAAATATTTTCTTGAACAATGCTGATACCAAATCTTGAGTAGCAAGCATCCAGAAGTTTGAACTTTTGGAAGTAAGTAAACAATCATGGATGCATCAATATAGCTTCCCAATTCCTAGTGAAAAGGCCTTACTCCCTTCTAGGCTTCGCAGCTCAGCCAACACACATAAATAGAGTTTATTTTTTACTTTCTAATATGCCTTGACAACCTTGCTTACATGATAATACTTTTGTGGAATCAG